TGGGTGTGTGGGTGTGTGTAGGTGTGTGGGTGTGTGGGTGTGTGCGTGTGTGTGCGTGTGCGTGTGCGTGTGCGTGTGCGTGTGCGTGTGCGTGTGCGTGTGCGTGTGCGTGTGTGTGTGTGTGTGTGGGTGTGTGTGTGTGGAGCGCCGCAAGGCGCGCCCCATGGGGAACGCTTGCGCGAGCCCGTCGACTGGCAACGCCAGCGAGGCGATCACGCCAGCCAACGAGGAGCTCGGCGCCGCCCATCGGCGCCGTCGCGCTCCGGCGGACCTCCGGGGGCCCCCAGACCTTTTTCCCTCCCTACCTCCCCCTTTTCCTCCCTCCTCCCTCCGTCCCACTCCTCCCTCCTCCTCCCCTCGTCATCCCGATTGTCCTGCCTCCTACCTCTCTCCCATCCCTTCCTCCTTCCTGGTCGCTGTCGCTGGTGGCCTCAAAGTTCCTCCACGGGGCGCGGCCGTGCGCTCCCTCTGCGAAGTTGTTCTTCCTTTTCGGCCTCCCAGGAGCGTTGTCTGGGCCTTGGCCGGGACCGTCAGGAACGATCTGGGACGAAAAAATACCCCGTCGCCATGAGACGTTCGGGTGTTGCTAGAAGCGCCTCTGGCCCGAGGTGCCCCCAGTGTCTCCAAGGAGCCCCCCACGGCTTCCAGAGAACCCTTCACGAGGCTCAGAGGACCCCTGGGGCTCCCAAATGGAGCGAGAAGCTGGGGGCTCCTTGGGCCAGGGGCACCTTTGGCAACCCCGGGCTGGCGACGCCGGAGGCGTGGGAGGCTCGTGGGCGGCGAGGCTCCTGTTGATCGAGGGCCTCATCCAATACTCGAGGGGAGTGCCCCCATCTCGAGGGGGGCGCCCCCTCCCGAGGGAAGCGCCTCCTCGAAGGGCCCCTGGGGGCGCCTTCCCGAGCGGACCCCTCCCAGGGGGGCGCCCCCCTCCCCAGAGGAGCGCCTCCTCGAGGAGCGTTGGCGCTCCGCAGCGTCTCGCGCGCTGCGGGAGGGGCTCCTCGGGGTGGCGCGGGGCTCCTCCTCGAAGGGCCTCCCAGGCAGCGGCCCGGCCTTCGGGCGGGCTGTTTTTGCCCGATGCCTCGGTGCGATCGGCATTGGGTACGGCCAAGACGCTGAAATAAGTTCCTTCCATGGCTGTTTTTCTAGCCCTCCTCGTGCACGCAGGCGCCCTCGGGACAAAAAGAGTTTCGTTCCTTACTTACCGCTCCTTATTTCAGCTTCCCGATTGTCCGGCAAGAATGGGTACAAAGACCGACAGCAGTTCTTCTTGTCGGCGTCGCCGCGGATCTTCTCCATGAGAGAGAGAGAGAGAAGGCCGCCTGCCCAACAGCGGCCGCTGTGGGTTTTGGACAGCATTTGCTGTTGGACATCGTACCCTTTTCCCAAACCAACTTCGGGCGTCCAAATTTGCGAGCCCTGGGGCCATCAAACTAGATCCAGGATGGAAGAGATTGCACACAACCCGAATTCTAAGCATGGGCAGCCTTCCCAAGGATACCCTTGCATCCTTGCCTCCTCGGTCCATCCTTGGCCTCTTTCGCTAGCCGCGCCCCGCTCGCAAAGTGTCGAAACGGCCTTCCAAGGCTCTCACATCCGCATTGTGCATCCTTATGATACGAGTCGACTGTGCCCCTCGGAGAAAGGGCCGATACCTTTGGGGCCCGCGGACTGACTAAAAGAAGAGGTAGGACGTCTGGGAATGGACCGAGCTTCCTTGCGGGGAGCCCCATTACAACCTGCTGAATTAAAAAGTGCGGACCCCGTTTGAGGATTTCGACGCATCCAGACCCTCTCACGCGCAGATCCACTCATCATTAAGCGGCATTATCAGACTCATTCATATCCGTGCTTGCTCGCGCGCAGATTGATGGATGTGCAGCCCCTCATATCCAGACTGGCTCATGCAAGAACTCTGACGCCTCCCACATCCACTCGCGCTCAGATCTATTCAGCCGCTGACCGTAACCGCATTTGCTCGCGCACGCGCGCCTTCTTCATGTTCAGACCCAAACCCACGCATAGCCAGGCTCACTCAGATCCAGACTCATTCGAGTTCAGATCCAACCCACTCTCGGCCCGCTCTGGGGCCCACTCGCGCTGAGTCACTCGGACTCCCCCCAGGGTGGGAACCGCCGAGGGCGCGCACGGACCCCCACAAGGACCTCCAACCATTGGGGACCCCGCCGCCTGTCCTTGCCGCTGAGGCCGTGGCGTAGGTGATCCCGAGTTGCTGAAGGCCCCATTAGGGGTCTTGACGCGCCCTCGGCGGACTCCTCGCTGGAAAAAAGAACGCACCATCAAACAAATCCAACATGTGCTTCGCCGCACATGTGCGCTTTCTTTGGGGAAGGCGTATCGCTGACAGCGACGCGGGGAACGAAGATCCGAAATCCAGGATAGAGGAACCAGGATCCTCGTTCTATTCTCGAATCTGGAACCTCGAAATGCACACCCTGGAGTATCGGAGATCATGAGTCGGTGGAAGATCCAAGATCCGGATGTGCCATCTTCGATCGCCCCCCGACCGTGGGTGTCGACTTACGTTCGCCCCTGACCCCGCAGTCCTCGATCGATCTTGGATCGGCCTTGCGGCCCCAGCGTCGCCCGACGAGGGCCCCCAGAATCCAATGACCGAAAGAGCGACCACCCCTGTGCACGACTGTCGGGGCCAAGTTCAGACGGGCTGTGCGAGGCGGCAGCCTGTGGAATCCAGCGTATCTTGACAAGGTGCAATGAGAAGCACATCGCATGTCAGACGGCAGAGATGGACAAGAATAGGCGGATTGGGAAGAGGGCGTCCGCAGTGTCGGCGCGTTGGTACACGCGCGAACTGAATTGAAATGCGCGGCATCTGGACTGTCTGGCGACATCAGATGGGGCGATACATGTGGTTGCGAGGGAGTCCCAAGCGAAGTCGCCACTTTCTGGCCGCACGTATCGGGTCCAAAAACATGGCTGTCAAGATGCCCCAAGCGAAATCACCATTCTCCGGTGGCTGGAAACGGAGCCGGAGAATTCTTGGCCGAGGAAGTCCTAGGCGAAATCGGCATGACCCGGTTGCCAGAGAACTGTTCTGGCTGCTCCGGAAGCAACCGAAGAGTTTCGTTTGAAGGAATTATTCGGCGGAATCGTGATTCTCCGGTCCTCACCGCATTTGGCGATTATAGCATTAAAAGGCGAGGATGAAGGAACCGGAGAATCGCGGTTCCGCTCAATACTTCCAACTCTCTGGTCGCCTTCCTGAGCGACCGGAGAACCCCTGGGTTGGTTTCTGCAACATTGTACGGAGCCTAACGGGATCATAGTGGCACATCTTGCGCGACCTCTCCAGTCCACCTCCAAAAAAAAAATCCAGCGGGTTGTAGAGCCACCAGGTCCGACATGCCACTGCTTGCGGCTTACTGGGGTCCTGCACATGGCAGCCCCAAGTCGTGCATGTTTGTAGTGTCAGTCGTACAACTGCTCTGATTATCCTACACATGCTTGCAACTTGTCGCAGCTGCCAGACGGTGCCTCCCATCTGTTTTCGTTGTTGAATGATCTTTATAAGGACCCCCCCATCTACGTAACCCCCCCGTATATAAATTCGGCCCTGGGCGCCCCCACCAACGTGCAATTCTAACAATCGGTTTCGAGAGCCCTCTGGGGCATTCTGCGCCGCCCGAGCGGGCCCAGGATCGCTTCCCGGACGGTCTCGCGGAGCCCCGAAACGACCCAAGGCCGCTCCAGAGCGGCTCATGAGCGCCCGAAGAGGGCCCAAGGTGGCTTCAAGACGGCTCAAGGGGCCCCCAGTACGTCTCAAGAGGCCCCCAAGGGGACCCCCAGAACGCAAAAATCCCTCCATTCCGTGAAAACGTATATTTTAAACATATTCGTTGTTTTTGTCTCCACGGCGTCCAAGACGGCTCAAGAGACCCACAGGTCGCCCCAGGTCGGCCCAACAATTTTCAAAAGAGCCCCAAGACGGCTTGTGAGCGATCGTGCGTTCTGCGAGTTGTCCCAGGACGTGGACTGCACCAAGTGGCTGGTGACCGAGGGCCGCGTCATGCTGACCGGGGTGGGGGACACGCTGGAGGACCTGAAGGCCATGTACCAGCGCACGTGTGGCCTGGACGTGAACGATAATGAGGACGAGAGCCTCTTCCAGGACGCGGACGGCACCAAGTGGCAGGTGGGTCACGTTGGTGCGCCACGTTCCGCGGGTCGTGCTGGCGTGCCGTTTGGAGTACCAGTGGCCGGCGGAGATGGAGCACCAGCGAGTGGACGCTTGCAGATTTTCGTGAAGACGCTGACGGGCAAGACTATCACCCTGGACGTGGCAGCCACTGCCACCATCGACAGGGTCAAAGCGCAGATCCAAGATAAAGAGGACATCCCTTCGGGCGACCAGCGCTTGATTTTCGCCGGGAAGCAGCTTGAAGATCGGCGCACGCTGTCGGACTACAACGCCCAGGACGAGTCCACACTGAACCTCGTGATGCGCCTGCTCGGGGGCACCCAGTCCAACGCCGTTCAAGTGGATTGCCCCGGCACTCCACCTGCAGTTGCTCCAGCTCCAGGTGGCGCTGCACCGTCGGCGCACCCCCCTGCCACTGAGTATCAGCGCACTGCGGACTCTGATCGTCTCTCGATGGAAATGAAAGCGAAAAGGTCACGTTCCCTTGACAATGTTACGCCGCGTATTGATGCACTGACAACTGCTAGTGTGGTAATGACTTTGATCTTCGGAGCTGCTCTCAGCGAGCTGTCAGGGCTTCGGTTTGATGAGTGGCCAGTCTACGCTGGGCGTACTTATTTCGTGCTGATGTGTCTGTCCACGTGTATCCCAGCCTATTGCTCCATTCTCGTGGTGATGATAGTGGCAACCATTCAAATGGTGAAAGAATGGGATGCCCAATGGGAGCAAGGACATATACCAAACGCGCAGTCGGGCGCGCCAAAGGCACTTGCAACGTTAATGCGTGTTCCAGCTACCGAGATCCTGTCCAAGTGGGACAAAGGAAGGCCACTCGCTACTCAGATCTACGTTGTCATGGCTGACGGCCCTCTCACACCCCTTGGTGTTGGAATCCGACTATTCCCACTGGCTTGCGTGTGTCTCGTCACGGGCGTTGTACTCCGTGTGGCAAAAGATGCTGATGTATTTGTGCAGATCGTGGCAGTCGGAATATTGGCACTTAGCCTGTTGCCTGCACTGATGATTTCAATGCGATGCGCGACCATCTTAAC